ATATTTAATTTTTGTTTTTATTAGTTTTAAATTATTATAAAATAGGTTTTTAGGATTGTAGTTCTAATCAAACATTTAAAAAATATCTATAACAGATAAATAAGTCATATTTATGATATGTATTTTTAAAGAAAATTAAGTTCAAATCTACTAAATTATAATATAATTAATCTAGTATGACTTGGTTTATTTTCATATTTAATTTTAATCAGAGATATAAAAACTTGTAAAGAATAATTATGATATATATTTATACTTTCAAAAGTTATACATAAAATTTTTAATACTACAATATATGGATAACTATTATCTCCACTATCTAAAATTTTTGGATCTATTACTAAAATTAGGATACAATTCTAATTTTAATATTATTATTATTATTATTTATCTACATCATAAACTAAATATAAATATGCCTTTATTAAAAGAAAAAACTCATTTTTTTTTACTTTTTTATTTTACTAAATAAATAAAAAGAAAAATCGATTTATTTTTTCTTTTACTCTTTTTTTTTTTTCAATTCAAACACTTCAAATTTATATCTACCCTTTTTCTACTTATCAATCTCAATTTTTTACCTTACCTTTTTCTCACTTCTCTTTTTATCCTAGTAAAGCAAAATGATTTCTCTTGAAAGGACGAGGACCTTGTATGAGAGTTGATGGTGCAGCATCGACTGGACCCGACCTCTTGCCTTGTCCCTTTCCTCATGGGCGTCGAAGCTGAACGAGGAACATGGTATGTTGAGTTTCAAATTATGTCGGATTTTGAGTTACTTTGTTTTCTTTTGAAATTTGTAGTACAGTTTTTTTTATTCATCTACTTATAATCACAACATTTAAAATTTAAAATCTTATATATATTATCTTAATCTTTCACCACGGTTGTACCAATACAAAATTAGAAGGACAACATTTTGAACGTCAAATCTTATATATTATCCCAATCTTCCCTCATGCTATAACAACACTAGTTGATCTTTAGTGTAGTTTCTTATGTGTTCAGAATTTTGATCGAATTCATCACATATCTCTCACTCTCTCTCTCTTTTTTCAGTTTGTTGTGGGTTTATCAGTATTAATGAAAGTGATAGTACATGCCATATGAGATGGATTTCAAATCTATTCATTGATTGATCATTGTTATAGTTCTGGTATAAAAATTATGGTAGTTCTATCCAAAGCATAAATGTGATTACTAAATCAAAATAGAGGTTAGTCTTATTTGCTCAATTTTCCCGGTACATAGTAGTATCGTGCTTTCTTAATCCTTATCCAATTCGATTTATCTTTATCTTTTAGTTTATTTATCTTGTATTTCCATAAAAATATTTATTATGATTTATATTGTCCTTTCTAATTTGTTTGAATCGATATTTATCAAATGATAAATATCTCGATCAAGCATGTAATTTTGGGAATGAAATTGTCAGCTTAACATAGATCGACCTTGAGTCCAGCAGGATACACTAAGTTAATATTCTAAATGATAACTCTATTATCTTTTGAACAAATGGGCTAAGCCCACAAGTTGTAGACTCGATTTAATCAGTCCATAGATGATCCACATAAGGTGAATCAGCTCGAAGTAGATCAACCATAGGCCTATGATTGTCCACAACCCTTCAAACTTAAGCGCAATAGCACGTAAAGACTAAGTAGATAATTTAAACAATACTCAACGTGAAATAGATTGATCATAAACCTATGATGGTCCACGACCCTTCAGGTTTAAAACGTAATAGCACATAAAGAATAAGTAAATAATTTAAAGAATGCTTGGCCCAAGGTAGATCGACCATGGACCTATGACGGTCCAATTATAAAAAAAGGTTTGGAATATATGTTTCATAAATTTCTTATAACCATCAATATAATTAGTATGGTTTAAATGGATCGAGTATGGCTTAAAATTGTGATTCACTCGATCGAAATGATAATTGTAGATATAATATTATGCACAAATTTGTAAAAGAGCATTAGAATTAAGGATGAAAATAGGACAAACTTTAAAGAAGACCTATGGCTTGATCTCTTTAAAGTCTTACCTAATCTGACCTATTTAATAAAAAGGTCAAATTTAAACTTATAAAAAAGCTTATTTATATTTAAAAGGCTAAGCTTAGACTTATAGAAAAGTTTGTTAGGCCTGACATGTTAGTCTATTTATTTATATAATATAATAAAAAAAGTAATATACATATATTATTAAAAATATAAAGAAACAAATAAATTTATAAAATTAAATTAAATTATCAATATTTAAAATATTTTTTTATACAATTTTTTTATTATAGGCTTATAAGCTTACAACCTGTACATGCGTATACATCAACATACATGACTATGCATGAATTGTCTCTTCAATAGAAAATGATTCAATTTTTCTTCTATATTTCTTTTAAAACTTAAATTTTAACAATATTCAGTAAACTTTATTTTAAAAATAAATTTGTTGATTTTTTAAAAATTGAATTTATTGTTCTTATTAACATTATTAATTTAAATAGGCTAATGAATTAGGTTAGACTTATAAAAAAAAGTTTATGATAAATAATAATTCAGACTTAAACTATAATTTTACATAATAAGCCTAACCTATATATTTAAAGTGTGACTTGATCCATCCTATTCTTATCCCAAATTAGAACCCACGATATTAAGGTTTCTACATAAATATAAACTTAGTCTAAGATTTTAGAGGTCTTTCAATTGTGTAACAAATGTAATTATGCTTTTATGTCTACATTAATCGCATTTGCATGCAATTTTTATAATATTAATTTTTTTAAAAAAATTGCAACTATAATTTTAACAATAACTTTTTTTATTCATTTAGATCCAGAAAAAAACTTGTTACTAGAAGAATAATTTAAAATTTTAATTTCAATTTTTTAGATGAATTATATAGTGGACCATTGTTTCATGTGTTCTATGGTGCATCACAAATAATGATCCTTAAATTAATATAGTTTTCATTTATTATAATGTACTCTCTCATAATATATATCCTTAAAATAAATATTATTTATCTACTTTAAAATAACAATGAGGAATAAAAAGTAGTAACTATAGATTCTAGAGAGATGAAAATTAAAGAAAAATATTTTATTAAAAACAAAATTAAATCATTTCACAATGACTAAAATCATAGTTAAGGTTACATTTTTATTAATGATATTATATTTTAGCTAACCATTTTGTTAGGAGAAAAATTAACCTCTTTTAGGCAATATTGAGAATCAAAGATAGAACATACAAAACCACAAAATTGAAATAGCAAAAAAAAACCCAAAATTATGTGATTTAACACTTTTTATCTACGTCCCAACTCATTCATTATCCCAAATCACATAAAAAATTTTCTAGACAAGCTTGAAAAAATCTCCCTTTATCCCTCATATTTTACTTGGTGTGTGCTTTCTTTTTCATCTATCAGCGTACATAAATTGTCCACCCAATTCTTGTATTTTGTCCAAAAGTACTTGTTAACTTCATCAAAGGCATGAAACAGTAAAAAAAAAAACATAAAACTGACAAACAAAATAAAAAAATAATATCAAAATTTTAACTTGATCTTTTCAATGCATTGTCTAGAAGAAACCTCGCGTCTTCCTCTCTATGATGTTGCGTATCAGCTGTGCCATTTTTGGAGTAAAGATGGCGTTTGGGACGGAGAACAGAAAGATTTTCAGAGTGAAGAAAAATATGTGAAAGTGAAAAGTTACTGTTTTTCCTTATTAAGTTTGTGTCATACGAATATGAAGATGTTCAGGAAGCGGTGTATCATTAAAATAGGTTAGAAATTTTAAATATTACCAAGTCCAAGTAGTATCAAGGAATTCAAAATGTAAGCGGAGATACATGGTTTGGGTTTCATATTAGAACTAGGCCATATGTTGGGTCTTAAACAAATGAAATTCGTATTGACCCAATGTTTTTATATTTATGTGCTTTTATTCAATGATTTATTAAATTCTAAAGTTTTTCAATTTATAATCAAAAGATTTACAAACACAAATGGGTCATTGATTACATGTTAAACGCATGGGACGAATCACCACTCTTAATCTGACTAATAGGAATAAATTGGAAAATATTTGAGGGTACTAAACCATTGTCTAACATTTTGACCTTCGTACCATATTAGAAATTAATATTGTAGGCATGATTCGAGGTCTTAAAAGAACCTTTGTTTAGAGACAATCCAAAGCACTAAATGAAGTATAGGATCATTTTTTTATGTCTTTCTGGAACTTGTAGATTAGTGTCTTTTGGACAGAGGCATGTATTTTGTCTCCCTGCAAAAAAAAATAATGAAATCATAGTTTCAAGAAGTTATAATAATTGCATACAGCAAACTGAGCTAATGAAAAGTTTACCTTACAATCCACCAAAACCAACTTCATAGAGAAAAGGATAGCTTGCTTGTTGAAATCAGAGACTGTCCATGCACGAATTACCCTTATCCTGATTTTCCAATTTTTCTTATCAGGACACAACATAGAAATCATGTTGAATTGGTTGGTCATGATTTCAACTGACATAATGTTGTTTGCACAGACAACACAGTTTATGTAGCCCAGAAAGTAGGTTAGTAAAAAAGTCATGCATTCAAAATTTATAGTAAAAAATCTACAGAATTCAAATTTGAAATGTGAGAATTGAAATATAGTGAACGAATTAATTAATGAAGCTTACTGTCATAAACATGCACTATACTACATCCTTGATAGTACAAAACATACTCATTTCCGTGTTTATCAAAATCCTAATGAGGCAAGACAGACATTCAAATTTCAAAATCTAAATATTAAAATGATTCATTTTGAAATATGAAATTTGCAACGAAAGACGAAACTTATTCAAATTTTTTGTCATACACTTGTAGGCTACAACCTTGTCGAGAACCTAAATAATTGCATTTCTACTGTTTATTCAAATTCTGATGACAAAACCAAAATCTGGGTACAATTGCAAAACTATAAAATTGTTCAACGAAAAAAAAAATAAGGAAAGCATAATCTTTTTTCTTCCATGCTTAGATAGTTGAGGTGCAGTACATGAAGACCTTAATAGACTTGAAATTTACGTTGTTTAAGACCAAAAGTGAGCAAACCACGTTGACGATGCCAACATGTTTTTCGTTGCAAATTTACCATGTTTGGGTCCACGTTTGTGATTCCCTCAATTGTTTATGTTATAGATGGTGTGACGTTCTATCGTTTATTAGTTGATCTATTTTATTGAGTCAACACCCCATAATACTGAAACTAAATTCTGGAATGGATCAACAATGAAGAATAAAGTATCACATCATTAATAATTTCTTTCTGGGTAGATACTACCAAATAATTCGTTATGAGAACTCATATAATTGATGGAATTTGTACTTCGTAATTGCTAAATTATATATTTTTTCTGCTCCATTTCCCCTCCCCTAGTATTATCAGTCGTAGTTTATAACTCCAATTCACCCAACATCCATATTCCTTGCCAACTGCTACACAATAGCTTTCATTCGTTTTTTCTTCCCTATACAACTTTTAGGCATAACCTTCACTCTCCATCTCCCAGACCAGTAAATTCAACAACAGATAAAGATCCTTGCCACCATAATGCTGCAATTGATTTGACGCGAAAGTGTACACATTATTTTTTATTCCAATCCAACTGTGTCCAATGAACTCTTTAGTACCTCTATTTTCTACAGCCTTCCTCATTCGAACCATGGTCTCCCATCTACCCCTAATCTGATATGCTTGAGCCAGCACCAAGTAAGGTAAGTAAGTCTGTGATTCCCTATCCATTATTTTCTTTGCAACTCCTTCAACAACTTGCAAGTCTCCATAAATTGCACATGCTGAAAGAATTGACCTCCAAATGTCAGAGGTAGTTCTATATGGCATTGTTTCTATGATATCAATGGCTTCTTTGAGTTTACCATCTTTACTCAACATCTCCACAACACATGCATAATGTTCTTCTCCTGGTTTCACTCCAAATTTCATCTCCATTGAGGAAAATATTTCAATTCCTTCATCAACCAACCTCCCATAGTTGCATGCTAGTAGAACTGCAGTGAGTGTTATTCGATCCGGTAGCATGCCTTCTCTATTCAATAATTCCCTGAAGAGGTCCATGGTCAAAGAGACTCTGCCATTGGAAGTCAGTCCCATCATTATAGTGTTCCATGATACCAAATCTTTTATTTTCACTTCATTGAAGATACTCAAGGCATCATCAATAAACCCAAATTTAGCATACATATCAACAAGTGAATTGGCAACAACTGATTCTGACTCGAAACCCAATTTAGGAACCAACGAATGGATTTGATTACCCACCTCAACTGGCAAGAAAATCGAAACAGAACTCAGAAGAGAGCTAATCGTGTATTCTGTAGGTCTGATGTTCTTCCTCAAGGTAAGCACAAACAGTTGCAAAGCATCTTCCGCTAAATCATGCCTAGCATAGCTTGAAATCATGGAATTGCATAGAGCTGAATCCCATTGGTCTTGTTCCTTAAAGAGCCGGACAGAGTCCTCCAATCTGTTGCATTTGGAAAAGAGGTCAATAGCAGCACTCGATACAATGCTATTGTAAACAAATCCCATCTTGAAACAAAAGGCAAAAATCTGCTTACCCTTGTCCAAGTCACGCAAGTTAGAACAGACACTCATCAACATGGAACAGGTAAATTGGTCAGGAAACAATTCCGAACCTCTCATCTGATAGAACTGCTCTAAAGCAAGCTCATGGTATCCAGATCTATGACAGGCCCAGATTAAAGAGTTCCAAGATATAACATCAAACTGATTCATAGTCATAATCACACCAAAAGAATATTCAACTAGACCAAGCTTCCCATACATAGTTATTAACGAATTCCCAAGTACTACATTATCCAAACCCACCCCACTTCTGATTATCCTACAGTGAATCTGTTTAGCATGACAGGGACTTGACACGAGTGACATCAAAATGGAGAGTGTGAACCCACTTGGTCTCACACCAGTACCTTGCATTTCAACAAAAAGCTCCAAGGCATGACTGAAAAACCCACAAGAAGCATAACCCGAAATCATGGAGTTCCAAGTTACGACATCTCTAACAGGTATTGCATCAAACACGTGGCAGGCCTTGCCAAGCTGGCCACTTTTGAGCAACCCTTTTAAGCAAATGTTCCAGGAAGTAGAGTTCTTGTGAGAAATATCATCAAACACCTTCAATGCATCGTTAATGTGGCCCAACTCAGAGTAAAGGTCGAGACAGCGGTTACCCAAGTAGGTGTAGGTGTTAAGACCCAATTTGAGGAAATGAGCATGCACGATTTTGACAAAGTTAATTGATTTTTGAGATAAACAGTGGTCTAGAAGATGAGAGCAATAAGAAAGAGACGATGAGTGAGGAATTCGCGTTTGCTTCAAAAATGGGTACATGCAAATGCTAATGGAACGCCCACAAACACATTTGAGAGTTAGCGGTGATAAGACTCCAAAATCAAACGCAGTGAATCAAACGCTTCCTCAAATTTCAATATTTGTCTTCTGGTAAGTGGTAACATAATTAGGGTACCGTTCCAACTCTAATATTGGGGAAAGAGAAATGTTACACTTTTTTTTTTTTTTTTTTTTTTGGTTCGTCCCTGGAGTATCCACCGCCGACAGCAGTGACTAATCTCCTCGCTACATTGGAGGCACCTCAAAGGGTGGGATAGCTGGTCCCAAGATTTAACGCGGCTGCATACACAAGGCAGGATTCGAACCCCTGACCTTGCTTAAGCGTGGATCAACCCCTACCGCTGAACCACACGATTAGGGTTACACTTTTCTTTAATAAGGCACTCCATCCTTAATATTTATTGAAAACTATTATTTTATTGTACATATAATATATATATATATATATATAATCACTTTTTTTAAAATTAAATTAAATTACTATAATATCATTTATACAAATTAATCAAATCATAAGAAATGAGTGATTTTCTTATCCTAAAATTTTGGTGTAGATTATTAATATACTCCAACTAAAAAATAGGTGGGAGTATTGATTTTAAAACTATTATGTTAAACTTTGTGTTTGATTTTTTTGGATTGCATGTTGATGATTTGTTGTTTGATTTCATTATTGATGGTTGTATTAGATTGAAAACTTGAATGAGATGATGAATATGTGGTGTTGGGGATTTTGGTTGTGTTTTGAAAGAGATGTAATGGTTTATGTTTTATAGTGGTTGCATATCGTAAATGAGGTTGTTTTTCGAGTTGTTTGTGGTGTTTAGATATTGTATGATGTGTTGCATGTTGGTGGATTTATGAGTTTTAGGTAAATCAAACATATTCGAGTTTTTGTTAATTAAGTGCAAAAACTGATTACACGTTTGACGTGCCTTCATGACACCAGTGTGGCTTGAAGTTAGGAGTTCTCAATGTCATCATGTCAAACACAAGATTGGTAGCTTCAAACGAGAAGAGAGAATTATCTCTGACTTGATCACACTAGACGTGAGTTAGAATGACGTTGGGTGTGAGAGAAGAAAATTGCCTTTACCTGGATTAACGTGGAGTTTTGTTATGTTAGACACAAAAGTGCAGGAGACTCTCTGCATCAACTACATTGAGTGTGGGTAGTTTGGCGTGGGACGTGAAGAGACAAGACGTCCCTTGCCTCATTGGCGTCGAGTGTGAGTTGCATGATTTTAATATGATGATTAATTTATTTTATAATTGAAAGATCATGATTAAGTTGTATGATGAAAATGATATGATGATAACTCATTTTATTTCAAGTTGACATACTATATGATGACATTGTTAAGTCTCAATTATACTTCCTTTTTGACAAGACTTATTGAACAATTTCACTCATCCTATGCACCCTTGCAAGATAATTGTTCTCTTTTTAATTCAATTTTTGTGCAGATATAGCTAACCTAATTTCATCTAACAATACCTTGATACACCTCATTTTTTGTGCAGGTATTGAGTGAAGAGTTGAAAGTTGAAGATCCATTGGATTGGAAATTAAAGGAGCTAAGGAGCAGGAGAAGAGCAACTACGTCGGGTGCAAGACTACCCACGCCGGGGTTGAGAAGAACAGAGAGCCATTCTCTCTGCAGAAATGTGCCGGGCACAAGAAGATGCGCCGGGCGCGCTCGAGCCAGAGAGCAACTCAAACTCTCTGGAAGATGTCGCGCCTGGCTTAAAAGAAAATTGCGCCAGGCGTGCTCGAGACAGAGAGTAACCAAACTCTCTGGAAAGGCCCAGCGCCGGGCACAAAGACTAATGCACCAGGCGCAAAGACTAATGCGTCGGGCTTGGTAACCCTAATTTGACTCCCCAAGCTCGTATTTGAGAAAATCTTCGAGGTCTTTCCCCTCATTCACACATTGGGCGACTTCTAGGAGCTGAGGAAGGGATTCCCGGTGCTTGGGACCGTTCGTGTGTGGGTCTTTCTTTCAGTTCTTCATTCTCTCTTCCATCTCTATTTTTGTTTCACCCTCATTGTTTTGAGCGATTCTACCCATTATTTTGTGGGGTTAGATATAACCAACGAAACTCTTATGTAATCTTTACGTTTTTAATGATATATATATGTGTTGTTTCATTCATTGTTGTGTATGTTTCTATTCTTAATGCTTGCTTTGGATTGATCCTCCTTTGCTTGATATAGGTTCCATTGGGTATTGGAAAATAACCATTGAAACTAGCTCTGAAACAAATGCGCCTAGTGGGAAATGTATTTAGGAATGGAGCTTGACCCATTAGTAGTCTTAAACCCTAACCCGTAATGCGGGTGTAGGTATTGGATACTCAAGAAATTGATATTCATTGCTTGCACCAAGGCTCTTGCTCTAAGGGATTAGGTTTGAGTAAACGTATGGGTTGATTAAGCAATGAATGTAACGAGAGATTAAAGATTCATTAGTGTGTAGTTCGGTGATATCTGACCCCACAATCTTACGAAACCATAATATCATTTCTACCATTTCCACACACAAAACAAATACTTTTATAGTTTAACATTCCAATAGTCATAACCTTTAATTCAAATTTGCATGACAAACTATGAAAATAGAATTATTCTTTAGTCACGAATAGTCAATAAATGCTTATTTTACCTACTAGTCCTTGTGGATACGATATAATTTACTACTTGAACGGCCGGTATACTTGCCGTATTTGAGACTGCTGATAGAATTAACATGATTTACAATGATAACAAAAGTAGTTTCAACGAAAATCTCAACAAGTTTTTGGCACCGTTGCTGGGGATTAGTAAGGCAATTTAGTATTTATAGATATTTGTGACTTGTTCCTTTATTGTTATTGTTATTTTTAAATTTAGCAATGAATTCTTTGAGCTGACTTGTGCACTCTAGTCTTCTGTTTTCTCTTGTATGCAAGGTACTATTCGAACTAGAGGGACCAATTCTTCTGAGCCGCTGTTGAATGATCCTGAGATTGAGCGCACGACAAGGAGGAATAATAGCAACAGGAGGAGAAGGAGGAATAGAGCAAATCCAGTTGGCCAACCAACCACTCATATTCCTGAAGTTTTTTTCTCTGCTATTCCTGAGTTCACTATGGAAGGTGGAGGTGAAGGTGGTGCTCACAATGAAAATCCAAACCGGAGGCGTACTATAGGTGATGCTTTCACCTACACTAGCCCGAGGGAATTCTCTAGCATTGTGAGGCCCACAATGAATGACAGACTAGCGGAAATGAAGCCCGCACTCCTACAACTTATTAGCTCTCATCAATTTTCTGGCCTGGATCATGAAGACCCACATACTCATCTCTACACTTTCTATGAGTTGTGTGGTTCAGTTGGAGTTTCAGGGGCTGATGAAGAGGCATTGTTCATGAGGTTGTTTCCGTTCTCCCTGAATGGGAAGGCTAAGGCTTGGCTTCATTCTCAACCAAACCAAAGCCTAACCACTTGGAGGGATGTGGAGACTAAATTCTTAGCCAGGTTCTTTCCCCTTCCAAGAACACTGAGGCCAGAACTTCTATTGCTACTTTTGCTCAAGGTGCGGATGAGCCATTATGTGAAGCATGAGAGAGGTACAAATCACTGTTGAGGAGATGCCCTAATCATGGTTTTGAGGTGGAGCTACAAGTTCAAACTTTCTGTAATGGGTTGCAACCTCAAACCAAGATGATACTTGATGCTTCTTTTGGAGGGTCAGTTATGTTCAGAACCGCCGAAGAGGCTATCACCATCATTGAGTCTATGGCCTCCACAGATTTTAGGAGCCAGCATGGTAGAAGCTCTTCACACAAGAGGGGAGTTTTGGAGTTGAGTACTCAAGATGCAGTGTTAGCTCAAAACAAGTTGCTTTCTCAACAAATTGAAGCATTGAATCAACAAATGGCCAAGCTACCTCAACAACTCCAAGCTATGCAAGCTAATGCTCCTCCTATGCAACAAGTTTTATTGTGTGATTTTTGTGGAGGTGACCACCCTAATGGTTATTGTGCCGGACCACCTAGTGCCCAAGGTGAAGAAGTGAATTATATGGGGAATCAAGGGCGACAAAATTTCTCTCAACACCCCTATCCTCAAAACTCAAATCAGGGGTGGAGAAATAACTATGGTGGAAACAAGCAAGATATGAATGCTTCATCAAGTAGCAGGCCTCCACATCAACACCAACACCCACCTTTATATGAGAGAACCACCAAGTTGGAAGACACACTGCAACAATTCATGCAATTGTCTATGTCCAACCAAAAGAACACTGATGCTTCAATTAAAAATCTAGAGATACAGGTGGGGCAAATAACAAAGCATCTAGCAGAGCAGCAAAAAGGTTCTTTCTCAGCCAACACCGAGCAAAACCCAAAGGGGAACTTGAATGTAGTATCTACAAGGAGTGGTCGGGAATTTGTGGTGAAGGAGAGTGAGAAGAAGAATGAGAGAGAAGAAAAGAATGACATGAGTGTGGAAGATGATGCTAGTGTTGATGAAGAAATTATCTTAGAGGGCCCAGGAGTATGGAGAAGGAGTGAAGGAAGTGAGATGGTTGAAGAGAATAAAATGAAAAAAGAAAATGACAAAAAGAGTGAGAAAAAGAAAGAAATTGAAAAAGAGAAAGAAGGAGTTAGTGGAGAGAAAAAGAAAGCACCCATGGAGGAGAGGAGTATTGTAAAGGTGCCACCCACCAAGAGTCTTCCATATCCTCATGCCCCTTCAAGAAGAGATAAGGAGAGGCAATATGCCCGGTTCTTGGAGATTTTCAAGACCTTGCAGATTAACATTCCGTTCTTCGAGGCATTAGAACAAATGCCTACTTATGCCAAGTTCATGAAGGAGCTCCTCACCAAAAAGAGGAAATATTTTGAAGAGGAGACCATTACATTGGAGGCGGGATGTAGTGCCATTATTCAAAAGATGTTTCCAACTAAATCCAAGGACCCTGGTAGTTTCACTCTTCCAGTCACTATTAGGAGTTTAGCTATTGGGAAGGCTTTACTTGATTTAGGGGCTAGCATCAATCTCACGCCCTTATCTATGCTTCAGAGGGTTGGTGATTTGGAGGTGAAGCCCACTCTCATGACCTTGCAGTTGGCTGATCGATCGGTGAAGTATCCTCATGGCATAGTGGAGGATGTTCTGGTGAAGGTGGACAGTTTCTTATTTCCCGCTGATTTTGTGGTGATGGATATAGAAGAGGACATTGATGTACCTCTCATTCTTGGCCGACCATTCATGAAGACTGCAAGAGTTCTAATTGATGTGGATGATGGGAAGCTTAAGGTGAGAGTGAATGATGAAGAAGCCAACTTTGATGTTTTTGATGCCATGCACTAACCTAAGGAAAAGAACAGTTGTTTTCGGGTCAATGTAATTGATGGCCTTGTTGAAGATACCAGGAAGCATGTTTATTTTTCTACTCCTTTGGAGAAAGTCTTAATCAATGTGGTAGAGTACCTCCATGAAGAAGAAGATAGAGAGATTAAGGAGGTGCACCTAATTCTGTGCGTATAGAAGATTTGAAGGAGGAAGGGGAGGTGAATACCCCTAAGCTTGAATTAAAAATACTTCATTCTCATCTCAAGTATGTATTTCTAGAAGAAGGTGGAAGCAAACCGGTCATCATAAGTAGTTCCTTATCCACATTGGAGGAGGAAAGGCTTGTGAAAGTGTTGAAGTTCTATCAAGGGGCAATTGGTTGGTCTATTTCTAATGTTAAGGGAATTAGCCCAGCTTATTGCATGCATAAGATATTTATGGAGGATGAGTACAAACCTGTTGCTCAACCATAGAGGCGACTTAATCCTGTGATGAAGGAGGTAGTGAAGAAGGAAGTGATGAAGTTGTTGGATACCGGTATGATCTACCCTATTTCTGATAGTGCATGGGTGAGCCCTGTACAAGTGGTTCCAAAGAAGGGTGCATGACGATGATGCAGAATGAGAAAAATTAGTTGATTCCTTCTAGGAAGGTCACGGGGTGGAGAATGTGTATTGACTATCAAAAGCTCAACAAAGCTACAAGAAAGGAACATTTTCCACTCCCATTCATGGATCAGATGCTTGAGAGATTAGCTGGCCAAGCTTATTATTGCTTTCTTGATGGGTATTCAGGCTACAATCAGATTGTGGTGGATCTGGAAGATCAAGAGAAGATCGCTTTCACATGTCCTTTTGGTGTCTTTGCTTATCAGAAGATGCCATTTGGACTATGCAATGCTCCTGCAACATTTCAGAGATGCATGCTGGCTATATTCTCCAACCTAGTGGAGAAGAGCATTGAGGTTTTCATGGACGACTTCTCTATGTTTGGGTCTTCGTTTGATGAGTGCCTAGCCAATCTTGAAGTGATGCTTAGAAGATACTTGGAGACCAACCTTATCCTCAACTGGGAGAAAATTCATTTCATGGTGACCGAGGGGATAGTCTTGGGGCACAAAATCTCTCACAAGGGCATTGAAGTTGACCCTGCCAAAGTGAAGGTAATAAAAAAACTCCCTCCACCCATCAATGTCAAAGGTATTAGGAGTTTCTTGGGGCATGCTGGCTTTTACAGGAGATTTATTAAAGATTTTTCAATGATAGCCATATCCCTAAGTAATCTCCTAAACAAAGACACTCCCTTCTGTTTTAACGATTCTTGTTTGAAAGCTTTTGAAGCTTTGAAGGCTAGACTCACCTCTACACCCATAATCATTGCACTGGATTGGAAACTTGATTTTGAACTCATGTGTGATGCTAGTGATTATGCGGTTGGGGCAGTCTTAGGCCAAAGGAGGACTAAAACTTTTCATGCTATTCACTATGCTAGCAAGGTTTTAAATAAGGCACAAATTAACTATGCCACTACTGAAAAAGAGTTGCTAGCCATAGTGTTTGCATTGGAAAAGTTTCGGTCCTATTTGATTGGTTCCAAAGTGGTTGTTTTCACAGATCATGCAGACATTAAGTATTTACTCACCACGCCAGATTCCAAGCCAAGACTCATTAGGTGGATTCTTCTCCTTCAAGAATTTGATTTGGAGATCAAAGATAAGAGTGACAAGGAAAATCTGGTTGCTGACCACCTCTCAAGGCTTGTAAATGATGAGGTGACCATGAAGGAGAGGGAGATCCTGAAGGAGTTCCCTGATGAAAAACTACTCATGGTGCAAGAGCGGCCTTAGTTTGCTGACCTAGCAAACTTCAAGGCAGCTGGAGTCATACCTGAAGATTTCACATGACACCAGAAAAAGAAATTCCTTCGTGATGCTACCTACTATGTGTGGGATGACCCTCACCTGTTCAAGATTGGCTCAGACGGCCTACTGAGGAGGTGTGTTTCTAGAAAGAGGAGGCCAAGAGTATTTTGTGGCACTGTCACAACTCTCCTTATGGAGGGCACTTCAATGGAGAAAGAACAACTGCCAAGGTCCTTCAATCTAGTTTTTACTGGCCAACACTCTTCAAAGATGCCCACATTCATGCCAAGCAGTGTGACAGCTGTTAGAGGGTCGGGGGAATCACAAGGAAGCATGAGATGCCCTTACAGAACATGCAGGAAGTTGAGGTGTTTGATTGTTGGGGCATAGACATTGTTGGACCACTGCCTTCTTCCTTCACAAATGAATACATCCTTGTGGTAGTGGACTATGTCTCAAAATGGGTTGAAGCTATTTCTACACCCAAGGCAGATGGAAAAACAGTGGTGAAGTTCCTCAAGAAGCACATTTTCAGCAGATTTGGCACCCCCATAGTACTTATCAGTGATGGAGGTTCGCACTTCTGTAATGCTCAGTTGGAGAGGGCTCTAGAACACTACGGAGTCCATCATAAGGTTGCCACCGCCTATCACCCTCAAACCAATGGTCAAGCTGAGGTTTCTAACAGAGAGATCAAGAGGATTTTGGAGAAAACTGGGTCATCTTCAAGGAAGGATTGATCTACAAAGCTTGATGAAGCTCTATGGGCTTATAGAACTGCCTTCAAATCTCCGATTAGTCTCACTTCATTCCAATTGGTGTATGGGAAAGCTTACCATCTTCCTGTAGAACTTGAGCACAAAGCTTATTAGGCTTTGAAGATGTTGAATTTTGTTCCTCTCAATATTGGTGAAAAGAGGAAGTTGGAGCTGCATGCTCTTGATGAATTGAGGCTCCAAGCCTATGAATCATCCAAGCTGTACAAGGAGAAAGTCAAGAGCTATCATGACAGGAAGATTCTCAAGAGAGAGTTCAGGGCAGGCCAGTCGGTGTTACTATTCAATTCCAGGCTCAAACTCTTCCCTGAAAAACTAAGATCTAAATGGTATGGCCCTTTCAGAGTCAAGGAGGTGAAACCCTATGGTGCCATAGAAATTGAAGATCTGGAGGCACAAAGAAGTTGGGTTGTGAATGGACAGCGGTTGAAACCCTACTTGGGTGGAGAAGTTGAAAGACTCTGTTGTATCCTTTCTTTCAGAGACCCTTGAGGTCTCTTATAGTCAGGCTCGGGACAGTAAACAAGCGCTTCCTGGGAGGCAACCCAGAGATCTGAACTCTATTTCATATGTTTTTTTAGTTGCTTTGTGTTTTTAGCTTTTATTGTTAATGTGTGTTATAATTGTAAGTTATAATTGTATATGTGACTTGCATTGTCACTGTTTGTGTTGTATGTAATTGTGTGAATCATGCTTGAGTGGGTAGATATAGGTTAAATCTTGTTTAGGATTGTGAGGAAAGGAAAATTCAGGTTAAACCTTCATAGCCCTGATCACGTCGGGCGCATTTATAATACGCCCAGCGCAATAGGTGGTGGATACTCTCTGCCAAGACCACACCGGGCACGACATAGCCACACCCAGCGCAATTAGAGCCATTTGCTCTCTGCCGAGCCTCACGCCGGGCGTAATGCTATTGCGCCCGGCCAAGCATTCAATAGAGCCCCTGGAACGACCACACCCGGCGCATTTATTGGCACGCCGGGCGCATTAAAAGTTGGAGGCTACAGGTGGTAGCACGCCCGGCGCACTCATGAATGTGCCCAGCGCATTAATCACTGGAAGGCCTTTACCTTAAATACGCTGGGCGCGCATCTGCCACGCCCAGCGCATTGAAAGCGTGCTTATGTTCTACCCTAATCACGCTCGGCGCGACGTGACAGCGCCCGGCGCAATACCAGATAAGGGTAACCCTTGGGCTTCTTCTGATATGAAGCTCGGCGTATGAATTGCGCGCCAGGCGCGACCCCTCAGATGCCTTAACCCCCCTACTTCTCCCACTCTCCCACTTTACCCTTTTCTCTCAACCCTCTCACGTTTCTATCCCACTCTCTCAACCTCCCCTTCATCTCTGAACCTCTCCCCCACTCTCTCACAACCCTCCTCAACTCCCATAAACCTCTACATCTCCCTCATCTCATACGTCTCTCTTTTCCCCAGCCCTCACTCACGTTCACTCTCCTTTTCCCTCTTCCATTCAACCGTTCAACATCCCTCTCAAGGGCACGCACCTGCCTCTCTTTCTTTTCAGATAACTCCGCACTCAAGTAGGTTCCTTTATCCTTGATTTTCTTTCTTTTTCCCCGTTTGTTTCTGTTTGTAGCCACCTAGGGGTCCTAGAGTGGTTCAGACAACCCACATTGGGGGTTCGGGGCCGGAAAGGCAAGTACTTTATGCCCCTACGTGCACTCACGCCGAGCGCGAAGAATTGCGCCTGGCGCATGCGTGCTTAAAAAGAAGATAAAAGGTTGCATCTGAGCCGGGCGCGAAGAACTGCACCCGGCATGTTTATTGAGTAACAAGCTTTTAGTTGTTTTGCGCCCAGCGCGCCTTCTTGAGCCAGGCGTGAGTAGCTTTAGAGAGTCCCTAATTTTGTTCGCGCCTGGTGTAAGTTCTTTTACGCCCGGCGCAATTGATTCCAGAGAGTTAACTACATTCTCTACACCCGGCGCATGAGTTTCACGCACGGCACATAACACCTTTGGCCCCTTTGTTTTCTGTGTTTTATTTTCTTTTTATATTTTTGGTGCTTTCTATGGTTAGAATGTTGTAGTTTAATTTGTTTTTCCATTTTATGTTTAAATTTTGGTCTAAGGGTAGTCTTCATTTTGCCTTATTTGAATTGGTCATCATTATATGTTTTATTATGCTCATCTTGTCTGTCTGAAATTTCTTGTTTATGTTATATAGATGGCATCCTCAAGCAAGCGCCCACGCTCCGACCAACCTGGTCCGCCTCCTCGCAAGCCCAGTCGACCATATTCCCGCCAATTCCTCACAAAGCGTAATGAGACGCACTATGAGACTGTGAGTAGCTAGAAATTCATCCAGGAGAGGCGAGTCGAGCTGGATGACAACGAGGCACCGGAGTTCCAGAATGAGCTTACCAGGCGGCGCTGGGACAAGCTCGGATCATACCCCCTCCCAGCCAACATTGTTGTGGTCAAGGAGTTTTATGCTAATGCTCTACGACCAGAGGAGGGTATTGTTCCATACAGCAGCTATGTGAGGGGTGTGCGAGTCCCCTTTGATGCACGCACAATTAATGAGTTTCTGGGGACTGCACTACAGCCTAATGAGCAGTGCGCGTATAGGGATTTTGATGGAAGGACGATAGACCCTGAGTTGGTAGAGGCTTCCATATGCATGCCTGGAGCAGGCTTTCACCGGAACCGCGCTCAGTAGCCACTCCACGCGAAGCGCCGTGATTTACTACCAGTGGTTAGGATCTGGTCCGCCTTGGTGCATGCCAACATTCTTCCTTGCTCACATGTCTCTGATATACATTGGACCCGGGCCATGCTGATGTACTACATCATGACGAGGAGGACAGTGGACCTAGGGGCGATTATCTGTGTGGAGATCTTTGGATGTGCCAACTCTCCTCCCTCCGTAGCCCTTGGACATCCCTCTCTCATCACTCAGTTATGTCAGCTTGCTGGTGTGGATGTCCACTTGCCACCATTCGAGAGTCCTGGCCGGGCGATTGATAGTCGGTACATCTCTACATATTGCCAGGATCGTCAGCCACAGGCCGCTGCAGCGGAGCCTATTCATGCTGCCAGACCTCAGGAGGACATACCCATGGATCATGCTCCTGCACCAGGCCCTCCACTCACTTTCCATCAGCGTTTTGACGCTCTCGAGGGTCGGATGGAGACATTTATGTAGCGATAGGAGGGCCGGATGGACACAGTTATGCAGCAGCAGGAGTCCCTCCACCGCGGCTAGCTCTTCATTTTGGATGCCTTCCGGAGTTTCACTTTGCACTCCGCGACCGCTCCCGGCTACCAGTTCCCTTCCACCGCTGATTATCATGCCTATACTGGTTGGCCTGGGGACCAGGCCCCTTTCTTTGGGGGGTGGAGCTGCTGATGATGTTGCTGCTGCTGAGGATGTTGATGGTGCAGATGAGGGTGGAGCAGACCCCGGAGATGATGATGACCAGGCTCCATAGATGGATGCAGATGGAGCCTACCTTAGTTTACCTTTATTGTTTATTTCCATTTATTTTTCTATCTTTTGGTTTAACTGTTCTTGTTCCAAAACTTTGTGGTTAGATTTAATTTCTTTTGATGATTACTCTGGTTGGTTCATTTTTGTGAATATTCTGCTTATAGCACGATTTTTAATCTTGTTGATACTTGTTGTGTTTGTGGTCAATTTTGGATTGTGGTTTGCTTGATGTTTGTGGTGCGTGTAATTTAGACATTTTCAAGTCACGTTAGAGCTTTAGTTCATGACTAGTTGCATACGGGTTTCAATGTTGATCATAGTACTGAGCCAAGTTTGATAATCTATGGATTCATAGCAGGGTGAGGTTTAAGCCCTAAATACTGATGAGTGAACTATGCTTAAGTTGCATGATAGACTTTGCTTGAGTTTCCCTGGTTGTTTGCTAATGTTGTGCATTTATATGATCAAGGCATTCATATTTCCTTATTTTGCTAACCTTCTAAGCCAAAAAGCCATCTCCACATTTCACTTGACCCATAACTTCCTAAGCCAAAACACCATACCTTCCACTTATCCCAAATTGTGAAAAATTAACCATAACCTTTGCTTTGCTTAAGAGAGTAATTGATGACATCAAACAAGTTTGGGGGAGTTGAAGAATGAGGGATTCTGGGAAAAGGAAAGTATGTGGTCATTTAAAAAAAAAAAAAGATGAAACAAAACAAAAACAAAAATATAAAGATTCAAAAGTGTAAATATGCATCACATAAAGGCTAATGGCTTGGGTCCGGTTAAGGGCATGTGCTAAAATGTTGTATTGGGGTATGGAGAGGGATATCATTCTAGAAATCTCAATTGCTCTCTTAAGCCATAGAACTTTCAATCCTTGAAAAACCATAAGATTGCTATTACTTGACCCAAATTTTCCTAATAAAGACCTTGTGATAAGTGTCTGCATTTGTATTACCATTGGTTCCATTTGGAAACGAATAGCAAAGTTGAATTATGTGGCGTGAGTAATAGGTTTGAGAGAAACACTCACCCTGATACACTAGTGTGCATAGAGAGAAACACTTTCCTAGTGAGGATGCATTCATAGATGATCATTAACTTTTCTCAGCTCTTTGATCTCTTTTGAAACCTTTGTTTGCACCTTGTTATGTTCCATTGCAATAATTGTGACTGAAAGTTCATCTAAAGTTCATGCTTGCGAAAATAAAATCCAAGTGAGCTAGAATGTAAGAATTTGACATAAATGCATTGCTTGTTATCTACTAGATCAATTACCTGTTGTTTGAGGGCAAGCAAGGTTCTAAGTTTGGGGGAGTTGTTAAGTCTCAATTATACTTCCTTTTTGACAAGACTTATTGAATAATTCCACTCATCCTATGCACCCTTGCAAGATAATTGTCCTCTTTTTGATTCAATTTTTGTGCAGATATAGCTAACCCAATTTCATCTAACAATACCTTGATACACCTCATTTTTTGTGCAAGTATTGAGTGAAGAGTTGAAAGTTGAAGATCCATTGGATTGGAAATTAAAGGAGCTAAGGAGCAGGAGAAGAGTAACTGTGTCGGGCGTAAGACTACCCGCGCCGGGCTTGAGAAGAACAGAAAGCCACTCTCTCTACAATGCAGAAATGCGCCGGGCACAAGAAGACGCGCCGGGCGTGCTCGAGACAAAGAGCAACTCAAACTCTCTGGAAGATGTCGCGCCCGGCTTAAAAGAAAATTGCGCTAGGCATGCTCGAGACAGAGAGTAACCAAACTTTCTGGAAAGGCCCTGTGCCGGGCGCAAAGACTAATGCGTCGGGCGTGGTAACCCTAATATGACTCCCCAAGCTCGTATTTGAGAAAATCTTCGAGGTCTTTCCCCTCATTCACACATTGGGCGACTTCTAGGAGCTGAGGAAGGGATTCCCGGTGCTTGGGACCGTTCGTGTGTGGGTCTTTCCTTCGGTTCTTCATTCTCTCTTCCATCTCTATTTTTGTTTCACCCTCATTGTTTTGAGCGGTTCTACCCATTATTTTGTGGGGTTAGATATAACCAACGAAACTCTTATGTAATCTTTACGTTTTTAATGATATATATATATATTGTTTCATTCATTGTTGTGTATGTTTCTATTCTTAATACTTGCTTTGGATTGATCCTCCTTTACTTGATATAGGTTTCATTGGGTATTGGAAAATAACCATTGAAACTAGCTCTGAAACAAATGCCTAGTGAGAAATGTATCTAGGAATGGAGTTTGGCCCATTAGTAGTCTTAAACCCTAACTCGTAATGCGGGTGTAGGTATTGGATACTCAAGGAATTGATATTCATTGCTTGCACCAAGGCTCTTGCTCTAAGGGATTAGGTTTGAGTAAACTTATGGGTTGATTAAGCAATGAATGTAACGAGAGATTAAAGATTCATTAGTGTGTAGTTCGGTGATATCTGACCCCACAATCTTACAAAACCATAATACCATTTCTACCCTTTCCACCCTTTCCACACACAAAACAAATACTTTTATAGTTTAACATTCCAATAGTCATAACCTTTAATTCAAATTTGCATGACAAACTATGAAAATGGAATTATTCTTTAGTCACGAATAGTTAATAAATGCTTATTTTACCTACTAGTCCCTGTGGATACGATATAATTTACTACTTGAACGACCGATATACTTGTCGTGTTTGAGACCGTTGATAGAATTAACATGATTTACAATGATAACAAAAGTAGTTTCAACAGAAATCTTAACAGACATTTATGCTACTAAGTTGTAAGTTGAAAGATGATTTAATTGGGAAGTTGTATGATGCTATGAATGCTTAAAGTTGTTAAGTTGTCAGACATGATACATAAAAATAAAATTAAAAACTAGAGATGAGAAAAAGATATTTTAAAAATTAAAATATCTCATTATGTAGATATAAGCTATGGTACTTCGAAAGTTCATTTGATAACCTTTTACTAAATAAGTTGACTTTTGAATGAATCGTTGTTTTTAAGTTTTCTCCTCTAAGTTTTAAGAGGTATTTGTATGTGGATAAGGGGAAGAAGATTGTTAATGTACAATCATATGACCCATTCCCTTTCCCGTCAATATCATATTCAGTTGAGATGATATATAAAATACATGCAAGATTACTTGATTACATAGTACGAACCTTGGTACAGACAGCATAACATGCTTGTTGGTTAGATTATGTCACGTAAAGTAAAGAATAAATGTAAGCACCAAGCTTTCTCCAATTTTTGGAGCCAATAGTATAACATAACACAGCGTATCACGTGTTATGGGTAAAATGTGTTTCTAGCCTCCTGATAGAGCATTCACAGCACTGCTAGCAAGAAATAGACTTAACCCAACTTAAACCACGTACTCTTAAGCTGTTCATCTCTTGAAATCAGTTAGTCAACCTGAAAATAGGCCAAAATACTTTGGAAGCTAATGATGGTTCCAAGCTTATTTCTGTCCAGAATTGTCCTCTTCGGATTGGCTAATCTTCACCTGGAAACTAAGACACTCAGTAGAGTTTCTCATTCAACAATCTGCCCAACTACAACCAGGAATCTTCTGAACTTGGTTACCTCTCATCAGTTCTCTTACTAGTGCTGACCCTTCCCAGTCCCCAGAAGATGCAAGTATGTTAGATAATTGTATATAAGCACCTGCATTTTCAGGATCAAGCTGAATGATTTGCTCTGCAGCCATCTTGCCAATAGTCTTATTTCCATGAGCTATGCAGCCTCTCAATACTGACAACCACATGTTGGCATCAGCCTGAAAAGGCAACTCTTCAATAAGATCCAGTGCTTCCTCGAAGCATCCAGCTCGGGCAAAAAGGTCAACCATGCAAGAGTAATGTTCAATCCCTGGATTCATGTTATAGGTATGTTTCATTGTATGGAACAAACTTCTTCCTTCTTCAACCAGACCACTATGATCACAGGCGGAAAGAACCGCAGTAAAAGTAATGGCAGAAGGCCTGACACCACTATACCTCATTTCACTGAAGAGTGTTAGAGCTTCAATTCCATATCCATTTGTGGCATACCCAATCAACATTGTGTTCCACGACACTTCATCAGTTTTTACCAGTCCATCAAAAACTTTACGCCCTGTCTCAACAAAACCACATTTGCAATAAAAATCAACAAGGGAGGTAGATATTATCTGATCAGATTCAAGCCCAATGGCAATGGCTTTACCAAATAACTGCTCACCAAGTTCAAGAGCTGATTTGCTGGCACAAGCACTGATTACACTGGCAAAGCTATACCTGTCCATTTTTATATCCAACCTATTCATCTGACAAAAAATATCCAACGCTTCGCTTGGACAAGCATTCTGGGTTAGGCCAACTAGTATTGAATTCCATGAAATCAAGGTTTTACTAGGCATTCTGTTAAAAATCCATTTCGCATCTGCAATCCTTCCGCAATTAGAATACACAGTGATCATAGTATTAAGCAAAATCGTATCGTAATCTTCGAGCTCGCTAAAAAACTTGCAAGCTTCACAAGGGCTTTGACATTTGTAGTAGGCATCAAGCAGAGCACTAGCAACCACTATATCACAAGTCACCCCAGCTTTACAAGCATAGGCATGCATTTGCTTAACAAGTTCAACAACCTGTAAGCCACTGCAAGCACTCAAAACATTAGCAACAGTGGAGACATCTCCCCGAACACCATTCCTAAGCATTGTACCGAAAAGCCTCACCGCCTCCATCTCCTCACCGTTGGACACATAACCCGAAATAACCGAATTCCACATCACAGCACACGGACCAACCATACTATCAAAAACCCTTCTGGCCTCCCTCATTCTCCCTGCATTTGCATAACCAGATATCAAAGCTGACAAAGAGAACTCATCAACTTCCCTCACAAGACTCACAACACGAGCAGCACTATCCAAATCACCACACTTTCCATACAAGTTAATCAGCGAGCTGCACAAGACCCTGTCAAGCTCCAACGCGAAACCATCGATGAAAACACGCGCATGGACTTGTTTCCCACAGTTGAGAGCCAACAAGTCAGCGCAAGCACCAAGAACAGTTGCCAGCACAAAGGCATCACGGTACATTATCTGTGAAGGGTCTGAGTTCATGCTTTTGAAGAGTAATAGCGCTTGAAGAGGATTCCCGTGTCGGGAATAACCATGAATGATGGAATTCCATACGAGGTTGTTCTTTGAGGGCATGGCATTGAAGAGAGAGTGAGCCAGTTGGAGGTGTCCGGACTTGGCAAAAGCGGAAACGACCATGTTCCATGAGAAGTGGGTCTTGTGAGGCATGGCGTTGAACAAGTGGAGAGACATGTGGGTGTGGCCTGAGTTGAGGTGGGCTTGGATGAGGGTGTTCCAGGAGAAAGGGTTTGTTTGGGGCATTTCGTCGAACAGGTGGGACGCATCGCGGAGATGGTCGCAGCGAGAGTACAACTGGAGGAGCCGGTTTGCCACGCTGACGGAGGAGTGAAGAATACCGGTTTTGAGGAATGCCACGTGGAGTTGTCTCCCTTCGCGAATCGAGGACCAGGATTGAATCGTGCGTGCCAAGCCATGCAATTCCATATCATATTATGAGAAATACTACGGTACCCACTATAATTGTGGGTACCTTTTATTTTTATTTTTTTATTATAATTACTTATTTTATTTTTATTTTAATTTAATATTTTTAATAATTTATCGGTATAAAATTTCTTATATTTTTACATTATTTTTATATTTTTTAATTATATCTTAATGTAGCATTTATTATAATTAAAAAAATTTAATATTAATATTTTGTTAATATATTTTATTTTTTTTATGATAATTTTTTTGAATTTATAGTATAAATTAGTTTTTCTGTTATATTATTTATTTTTTATTTTAATGTTTTTATAATATTATTATAATTTTTTTTAATTTTTTAATTTTTTAATTTTATCACATATAAACAAAATTTGTTATGAAAATTGACCTTTTGATTATTTTTTTTTTGAATTATTCTTTTTAATTGATTCATCTTATACAAATTTTTAATCTAAAATTTATGTTATTTTGATTTTATTTTTTAAAATTTATTTGTTCACATAATTTGATGTACCAAAACTCTTCAATTTTCATGGGTATGATAGCAACTCTCTCATATTATTACCCATCATGTAACCATTCTCTCAATTTTGATTAATTTTTTTTTGAATTATTCTTTTTAATTGATTCATCTTATACAAATTTTTAATCTAAAATTTATGTTATTCTGATTTTATTTTTTAAAATTTATTTGTTCACATAATTTGATGTACCAAAACTCTTTAATTTTCATGGGTATGATAGCAACTCCCTCATATTATTACCCATCATGTAACCATTCTCTCTTCTTTATTTCTCTATTTATAATTGTTGCTTCTAAGTGGTAACTTAACGGGATGGGTGTGTTGCACATTTTGGATGATATAATTATCATATCCCTCATGCTCTCAATTTTCTATCTTTTTTACTTCCAACATTTTCCAACAAGATCTACGGTTACATTGATTTAATCAGATAATATATAATTACAAATGAAATTCAAAATTGCAATTAAAGGGGATTATAAATAAATAATTAGGAATGAAAATAGTTTTAACTTTGATTCATGTACTGATTAAAATTACCGTTAACTTGAATTTCACATCTTTCTAGCGAACCATTAATAAAATGAATTGAATGGCAGAAATATTACAAGTATAAGAGGCAGAAAAAAAATTCTTAAGGAGGTCTTCTGCCACTTCAAATCATTAGTCACAAGTAGTTATCAGACAAAAAACATGGGGGAAAAAAACCCTACCTATGCCTTTGCGGCTTGGAAAGGAAAAATAGATATGAGAATTTGTTGAGTACAATATTTATTTCTCAAGGCTCACAATAAACAGAAGTAACCTATCAAACAATTAATTAGTTCCCAGCTCCCTGCTTTAATAATTTGCCAAGAATCTCACCGTCGGTATAGTTAAATATAGCCCTCCTTTCATTGAGTAGTTTTGGTTAATGTAGCAATCATACTTGGGCACGCCAACAGTCAAGAATCAAGATACACGATACTTTGCATATTCCAGCAAATTATTTCATCACGGTCTACACTTGCAGTTTTCAAATCAGTTATAATTTCATCAGAGCTCAAATCCCAAACTGCAGAAAAAGCTTCCTTCTGCAATTTACTCTCCAAACAAGAATCGGGTTGTTTCAAAATACGACACTTCCCCTCAATGCTTCAATATCACACGGTTTCTTCTAATGAATTTTAAATTCTAAGTATGCTAAGCTAATCGTCCCTTGAATCCAGTATCAATTGGAATATTCTGGTAAAAATGTAGTTTTTCTTTTCTGTTTGAATATGCTTGTAACTTGAAAAATAGACTTCTCCAATGCATATGCTTGCAACTTGGAAAATAGACTTCTCGAGCCGTCCTGTGGCATTACATCCAGATCCAGGTATTAAAACTGAATATCATCATTACAGACAGGACCTTGATCATAGTGATATTCCATTGCATAAATTTTCCATCTGATTTGTGGCCTTTATGATGAAATAAAGATCAGCTTCCCTCCCTGCTACAATACACAGCATGCTGCAAGTAGAAAATAATTAATGTTGAAATTTATTAATTTTTTCTGTAATCCATTCTGCTAATCTTGGGCACTCATTTTTCTCACAAGCATCAAGAACTCTTTTCAACATTGGAAGTGTGGGCTCAATTGTCATTGTCCTCATAAAATTCTCAAGCTCATCCATGCATCCATGCTGACTGTAGAGTTCGATCATGCAATCATAATGTTCCAGCCGAGGCAGGACATGGTATTCACTGCTCATTGACTTAAAGAATTCGGTGCCAAACTCAACAAGGCCTTCTTCAACGCAAGCAAGCAAAATTCCCTTAAACGTCACATGGTCTGGCTTGACGCCTTCTGCTTCCATTGTCGCAAAAAGTTCAAGCGCTTCTTTACCCCTATGATTGTGACAACATCCCAAAATTATGGTATTCCAAATTATCACATCCCTGGAAACTGCCTCCTTCAAAACCTCAATAGCGTATTCAAGACAACGGCATTTACAGTACATGTAAACCAAAGCAGTTCTGATTATAGTGTCTATCTGAAATCCATGTCTAATGATGAATCCATGAATTTGTTTGCCAAGGTACAGAGCAAAGGTATTTGCACTTGCTAACAAAAGGGTTCCAAATGTATACTTGGTTGGTTTTGTCTCCCACTGCATCTCAGAAAACATTGATAATGCTTGTTCACTCAATTGGTGATGACCATAGCTAGCCAACAAAGCATTCCAAGAAACCTTGTCACGCCAATTACTCATCTGGTTAAACCAAACCCTGGCGCTGTTCAAGTTCCCACATTTACCATACATGTCAAGAACAGCATTGCTGAGCCTAACGTCCAAATGGAAGCCATGTCGATAGATATATCCATGAAGCTGTTTCCCCATTTCATGATCCGAAACACCAGCCGAAACATTCAACATCAAACCAAGAGTGACATGATCAACATCCTTAATCATACCAAGCATGAGATACACAAAATCCAACGCCTCAGACCACTCAAAGCACCGAGTATATCCCGCCAACATGGCATTCCACGAGATCACATTCCGTTCAGGCATCTCATCAAAAAGCTTCCTCGCCTCGAAAGTCTTCCCACACATCGCATACCCCGACACAATGGAAGTCCAACACACCAAATCTCTAAAACCAAGCTGATCAAAAACCCGATAACCATCTTCCACCCTACCACACTTGACATACAAGTTCACAAGCGAGCTCGAAACCACATTATCCTCCTGGAGACCCAACTTCACAACCACCCCATGAATCTGCATCCCCTCCGGGAGAGCAGACACAGTAGAACAAGCCACAAGAGCATTAGAAAAAGTAAAGTTCATGGGCCTAACGGCCGCAGCCGAAAACATCCGCGAGAACATAAAAACCGCCTCTTTGGCATCACCAGCATCAAGATACCTCCTCACAATGACATTCCAAGTGACAGCATTGGGCTTCGGAATCTCATGAAACATCCTGCGGGCATCAAGCATGACCCCACACTTGGCGTAAACATCCACGAGAGAACTCCCGAGTATCACATTACCGCAAAAACCAAATTTTGCGAGCAGCCCATGAACCTGCTTGGAGAGAAGAAGCTGGGAAGCAGAAGCACAAGAGGCGAGAACGCCGGCGAAAGTGACCTCGTTGGGGGAAACACCAGACCTATTCATGGACACGAAGACGGAAAAAGCGTGGTGGGGGAAACCCAATTGGGAATAAGCAGTGATGAGGGCGTTGCAAGTGCCGCCATCTCGGTGGGGCATTTCGTCGAACAGTTCGCGGGCGTCGCGGAGAGAGCGGCATTTGGCGTAGGCTTCGATGGCGCGGTTGAGGAGGAAGGTGGGGGGGTTGGGGGAGAAGGTGAGCAAGTGGGACTCGACCTTGCGGGCCTGGACGAGGGCGCGGTGGGAGGAGCAGAGGCGGAAGAAGAGGGCGTAGAGAGGGTATGGGAAGGGTTCGGGGAATGCGAAGAGAATGGAAGTGGCTTTTCGGATGCGACCCGCTTTGAGGTAAGTGAGGATTGTTTTGATGGCTGCTTTGGTTCCGTTCTTTGCCTCTGCTTTTAGGTTTTGCTTGTGGAGAAGCTCGTTCAGTATGGAAGCGGCACTCACACCCATGCAGTTACGCACTCATTATTTCTTCTTCGTCAACCCCAATGTATACTATACTTGATTCACTTTTTGCTCAGGGAGAAAAATTATACATAGATCGAAAGGATTATCAAAATTCAAAAGTCTGTCTGAACTCTGAATGTATAAAATAATTATTTAAATTATAAAATATTAAATTAAATAACTATTTTATAATAAATTTATTAAAAATTATTAATATTTTATAATTTGGAGGATTATTCGATTAAATTTTTCGGACGCTATATCAAAGTTCAAATTCTAAGGACTCTTAAATAAGTTGGTTGACCATATATTTTTAAAAATAAAAAATTAATTATATATTCTTATTTTTAATAATAAAATAAAAGGTTATAATTTTTTTTTTCAGAAATCAAGTTTATTATTGATTTAAATATAAGAGAATTTCTATGGTACCTTCAATTATCGAAGAGTTTTGGTACTGTACCTGATGTGTATTTATATGTCATTATTTCACGTCAATTTTTCAATTTTTATAACCGAACTTTAGTATTTCATGTTTTTTTTTTGTATCTCTCTAATCTTCACTTTTGAGAATGGAGCATTAAGGTTAATAAACTTACGATATTTATGTAAGCAGCCAAATTTTTTTCCATTGTCTAAATTCCCTTCTCCGATTAGTCAAGGCTTTAAAGAATGCATCTGTATTAGTAATATATTTTTTCACCAGTTTGTCTGTGGAACCACCATTGAATAGCTCCTGGTCGGAATGGAGAAAACCCCTTTTTATCCAGTAAATTCTTGAAGTATAGATTATCGAAATTCTCACCCACGTATCGATCATGGCTAATCAAACCTATAAAAGATAGAGGGAGACCTGGAAAATAAAAAGCTTAGAACTAAATTCAGCGACAGAGATAACACTATAAAAAGGGAAAATAGGAAGTGAAGCGAAAATGATATTGAAAAAAAATGAAAAACATGAATAGTTATGAAAACTTAAAACTGACGTGGATTATAAATAATGACACATAAATATACATCAACTACATATCCCCTACAATATTAAAACCCTTATTTTATAGAAATTCAGTAGTAACTTCCTAAATATAAATACATAAAAAAATATTAATCAAAATTTTAATAAAAGTTATATAAAATATAAATATATTTTTTAAATAGTAGATTAAATAAATCAACTCGATTTGTTTATATTCGAATTTGTTTAACCTATGAATTAAGTGAATTGGATTGAAATTTAATCGAAATCAATATTTCTTTTTAATCCAACCTCATCTAGATCCGTGATGAATCAAATTAATCCACCAAAATTGATATATTTTTGACACCTCTAAGAACAATCATTTTCGATTATTTTCTGCTGATGATAAGGTTGATATATATGGACTACATAAAGAATGGGCTTTATTGGGATAGCTTTCAACCACGCAAATGGTTGGGCCCAAATCCACACTGTGATATATCAAGTAAAAGTTACATAATCAATTTTGGAACAAAAGAAATCAAAATGAGTTTAAACTTATAATCTATATTTTGAAAGATCAAATATAGACCAAAAAGGAAATAAATGGTTACTTTAAAAAAAAAAACTAAAAATAGTTAAACAATCTTCTTCCACTTTTTTACACTCTGAACCCCCATACAATCCTAAATAGTAAATACTTACATAGAGCAAATAAAATTAATAATATATATATATATACACACACATAATTAAATGAACTAAAACCATGAATAATAAAGAACATCATCATTCGCGTGGAATATGACATAGTTAGAACAAAAACAAAATCAAGATATAGAAAGTCGTGATTGTGAAGTAAAAAATCCAAATAAGCATGCCACCCCAAATAATTCCACAGGATTTTGCCGCTGGTATAGCAGTCTTCGCGCCACTCGTGGGAATATAATTTGTCTCTTTGTGCCTACAACTCACAAAACGTTTTGACATGGCACAAACAAATAGCCTTCTAGACGAGTTGCATCATTTTCTCTAGAGCTTTTCATTTGTTTAGTATTATTTAGTTGCTACATTTCTTGATAATTGTTTGGTTCTGTTTGTTCTTTGTTGCCAATTGGTCAAAAAAAAAATTGGATGAATGAAAGAGACGCATGCAAAACATTTTTGGTTAGTTTATTTATTCTCCCATGTAACCCGTTGGTTTATCTCACGTACGCACTTACATGTATCTTGAGACATACGTAAGATAATTATCCACTTTCATAAAGTCAACGAAGAAGATTTTCTTTTTCTCTTTCTAATATAGCCTATGAAATAGAATATAGTGGGAAATGAGAGGAACCAGTTGTCCCTTCTAGAAAGCAAAAAAAAAAAATGGAAGAGAAAAGAAAATTTCATTACCATCTTAACCATAATCTAGCTCTTTAAATATTATAGCTAGGAAATCGGAAGAAACAACTATTGAGTGGTCGCCACGACAAAATTATGTTTTACTCAGCAGTCATATACACGTGCATGGGATTCAAAGTAAAAGTACATGGATGCATCCTTAAGTAAACTAGAAAAGGTACGTGTATAATATTCTCATGAAAAAAAAAATAAAAAGGAACGAGAAGAAGCCGACCCAAACGCTGATATAAGAATATTAATAAAAAAAGGATTTGACTCATATGATAATGGTGTATTTTAGAGAATAAAGTTATTATAAAATCAGTAATTAAAATTTGTGATAATATTAAGCTTTTATAAAATAAAATTTAAAATTAATTATAATTTTTAATAAGTAGTTACTTTATTTTTTTAAAGTGCAATTACCTCTACAAAATAAGAAAATAATATGAGCACAGTCAATTACTAGCCGTCATTACAAAATCAAAGGGGGCTGCTGCTGCATAAAAACTAATAAATGGTTAATTGGTCTGCACGAAACGCCTGAACAATACACACATAAAAACTAGTTGATGCGACCCAATTGATATACAGAAAATAATAATTTTTTAAGTCTCTGTGATATTTTTTTATTTTAGTTTTTTTAGAGTTATCTTTTTAAATTAATTCATGGAATATTGAATTCTTTTGTTACTTTTTTATAAGCCAAATTGCATTAATATCAAAGTTGCAACAATTACAATGGAATATTGAGATAGCAAACAAAAGGTCATAGTAATATTTTTTTTTTTAATTTGTAGTAATTGAATTCAATATTAAAGAGTTATAACAATTTTCACACACAATTCAATTAATTGAGTTAATTAAACTCATTTAGTAAGATGACTGCAGTAAATCACGTCATTTTATACAAATTTTATTTTCATTTTAGTCTTTCGATATATACCTTATTTTAATTTTTTTCTCTAATTTCTTAACTCTTCTTATACTCATACTTTCTTAATGATGACAACAACTATGAACCTTTCCAATAATGTCTATGAAAAGTGATAGACTTATATTACAATAAGGGTTAATAGATATACTCTTTCACTTTAATTAAATTATACTAGTATATTTTTCTAATTTTATATATTAAACTCATAAATGATTGTTTTTATATTAATGTTTTGTTCTTTATATATATGATTATTATTTATATAAAAAAAATATTGTTTCCACTAATTCAAGATTTTTATTCGTCATTAATATCTATGAATAATGATGTGTAATTTAGGGTTTGGTTCAAATTAAAATAGTAATTGCGCCAAGGTTTTCTTCATCAATGAAGACTTGATGGAGGTGCCACCCCAAGTGGAACAAAGGGGTTTTGGTTCACTAGTGGAAAATCAGCATATTATATCACCCCTTTTACGTCAGAAATACGAAAATCTGACGTAAAAAAAATGCGGTGGCATTTTTATAATTTTTGCGAACTTTTTACGTCGTACCCTACTAGGTCCGACGTAAAAAAAGACGCAAATTTGAATAAGAGAGCGCGAGGCACACCGCGCACATTCACTCTTCATCACTTTTAATTTTTTTCTCTCTAAACTCTCTCCCTCTCCTTTGTTACTGAATCGTTTTTTTGTCTTTTGCAGAGGGATGAACTCTTTGTTACTCATTTGCACATTATTGCTACTCCTCAGGTATGAATCAAGGTTTCGTTAACACTTTTCTACTTCGCATTGCTACTCTGGCTATCTGTTTTATTTGATTTTTTGGTTGTTCTATTTGTATAGGTAGTGAGCGTTTTCTTTTGGGTTGTTATACGAAGCTGAATTGCTTGTTCTGCAAGAAAACGGCCTGTTCTCCAAGCAGAACAGCACGTTTTGCAAGCAGAACGGCCTGTTCTACTTGGAGAACGGGCCGTTCTGCTGGCATTTTTATGTTTTTTTTAATTATTTTTTTTGCTACTTTTTTACGTCGGATGTCGTAATGTCCGACGTAAATTTACGTCAATTTTGCAGATTTGACGTAAAATTTACGTCTCCCGCTTCTACGTCGGTATATTTTCTGACGTAAAAGCTCAAAATATTCGACGTAGTACACCTCTTTTGTACTATAGTGGTTGGGTTTGCGGAATGGTGGTTTACGATTTAAGGTAACCAACAAGTGTTTAGCGGAAATTAGGTAGCTACTAATTGTCTATGGCACCAAAAGGTCTTGGATGTTGTTTGAGGGAGATAAATATATTGATTATGGTATTGGTGGTGAACCGAGTTGAGTTGAAAGTGTGCAAATGTACTTTCTCAATTTGACAAATTCATAAATATGTATTTAGAACATTTTCATTTTGCCTTCTCTATTTTATTTTATAGTTGAACTCAATGACTTTAATTTATTATTTTATTGTTCAATTTTGTCTTTCAAATACTAACATTTTTCTTACTTTTTTGTTTTATTTTTGGTTCACTTAGCACTTTGTGCTGTGTTTAATTAGACATTATATCTCACTTTACATTCTATTCCTTTTCATGATAATAATAATTATTAGTTTTTATTTTCTAAAACAAACTGTTCTTACTAAGTTCTTAAATCTGTTACTATTTGTTACAATCATATGGTGACTGACTTTGGGTTTGGAATGTGATGGAAGGGACGGTGTTGGGGTTAAAGTTTTTTTTTTATCAGCCAATAAATATTTGTATTTATATATAGAGGTACAAGGGGTACCAAAACCCATATACATA